TAGATTAGCAGTTGCTTAGGACTGGGTGAGGGAGGAAGTGGGGAATTATAGTTAAGGGTATAGGGTTTCTTTTTGAAGTGATAAAAATGTACTAAAATTGACTACTCTTTTTTCAGGATTGCTTTGGCTATTTGTGGTGGTTTGTGGTTATATACAAATTATAGTGGTCTTTGGTTTTGTTACTATGAAAAATGCCATTGGTATTTTGATAGGGATTACAATGAATCCATAGATTGCTTTAGGTAGTATGACCATATTAACCATGTAAATTCTTCTAATCCATGACCACAGAATATCTTTCCTTTTTTTTAATCTTTAGTTTCTTTTAACAGTGTCTTCTGGTTTTCATCGTACAGGTCTTTTATCTCCTTTGTTAAGTTTATTCTAGGTATTTTATTCTTTTTGTTTTCATTGTATATGGGATTTTCTTCATTTCTCTTTCTGATAGTTCATTGTTAGAATACAGAAATTCAACAGATTTCTGTAAATTAATTTTGTATCTTGAAATTTCATTGTATTCATTTATTATTTCAAATAGTTATTCTAGTGAAATCTCTATGGTTTTCTATATATAAAATTATGTTATCCACCAACAGTGACAACTCTATTTTTTCCTTTCGAATTCGAATGCCTTTTTTTTTTTTTTGCCTAATTGTCCTGGATAGGACCTCTAGTATTATGCTGAATAAAAGTGTCAAAAGTGGGCATCCTAGTCTTATTTCTGCTCTTAGAGGGAAAGCTTTAAGTTTATTAATATTGAGTATGATGCTAGCTGTGGGTTTGTCTTATATGCCTTTATTATATTGAGGTACTTTCCTTTTATGCCCATTTTTATTGAGAGTTTGATTATAAATGAATGCTGTATCTTGCCAGATGCTTTTTCTGCATCTTTTGTGATTATCATATGATTTTTATTTTTTTTGTTAATATAGTGTATCAAGTTGATTGATTTATAGATGTTGAACCATCCTTGTATCCCTGAAATGAATCCCACTTGTCTGTGGTATATGATCCTGTTAATGCATTGTTGTATTAAATTTGCTATTATTTTGTTGAGGATTTTTACATTGATGTTCATCAGAGATAGTGGCCTGTAATTTTCTTTTCTGTGATGCCTTTTCCTAGTTTTAGTATGAGAATAATATTGGCCTTGGAAAATGAGGCCAGTTCCCTCATCTTCAGTTCTTTGGAAGACTTTGAGAAGGATAGGTATTACATCTTTGAATTAGAATTTACCAGTGAAACCATCTGGTCCTAGACTTTGGTTTTTTGGAGGTTTTTTGATTGCTGTTTCAATATCCTTATTCAGGTTTTCAAATTCTTCATGATTCAGTATAAGAAGGTTGTATACCTCTAAGAATTTGTCCATTTCCTGTAGGTTGTTCAATGTGGTGGCATATCACCTTTCATAGTATTCTTTTATAGTCCACTGTATTTCTTTGCTATCTTATGCAACTTCTCTTTCATTTCTGATTTATTACAAAAGTATAGTAATAAAAACAGTATAGCATAATCTATAGGACATGGAAAAGCAGTCCTAACAGGGAAATTCATAGCATTATAGGTCTGTCTTGAGAAACAAGAAAAATCTGAAATAAACTAACTTTATACTAGAAGGAACTTGAAAAAGAACAACAAACAAAGACCAAAGTGAGTAGAAGGAAGGAAATAATGAAGAGCAGAGCAGAAATAAATGAAGTAGAGTCTAAAAAGCAATACAAAAGGTAAATTAGTCTAATAGCCAATTATTTGAAAAGATAAACAAGATTAACAAACCTATAACCAGACTCATCATGAAAAAAGAGAGAAGACCCAGATAAATAAAATCAGAAATTAAAGAGAAATAACAACTGACATTACAGAAATACAAAGAATTGTAAGAAAGTACTACAAACAACTATATGCCAAAAATTGGACCACCTGAAAGAAACAGATAGATTCCTAGAACACAATCTTTTAAAACTAAATCAGGAAAAATCAGATAATCTGAATAGACAGATTACAGTTAGTGAAATTGAAGCAAAATAGACAGAGACTCATGGACATGGACAACAGTGTGGTGATTACCAGGGGGAGGTAGAATGAGGGCAGGTGGAGGAGGGTTTAGGGGGAATAAATGGGTGAAGGACAGAGACTTGACATGGGGTGATGAATACACAATACAGTATACAAGTGATGTATTGTGGAATTGTGCACCTGAAACCTGAATAAATTAGCCTGTATAATTTTGTTAACCATTGTCACCCCCAAGAAATTTAATAAAAAGGAAAAATAGTTTGGAGTTAAAGTACCATAAATATAACAATGTAAATACTGTATGTGTATGAATACATAATTTATACTTTAATTATTTACAGTTAACTCATATCCTGCATTTGAAGTATTTTTTCTTTTTCTTTTTTTTAAGAGGAGTATTTTTTTTTAGATTTTATTTATTTATTTTTAGGGAGGAAGGGAAGGAGAGAAGGAGAGAAACATCAAAGTGTGGTTGCCTCTCATGAGTCCCCTGCTGGGAACTGGCCTGCAACCCAGGCATGTGCCTTGACTGGGAATCAAACCATGATCGTGGGGTTCGCAGGCCCACACTCAGTCCACTGAGCTATACCAGCCAGAGCTGAAGTATTTTTTTCTGATTGAATCTGGATTTGTCCATAAACAGATTGACATTCTATTTTAGCATTAAAACATATTTGAAAGTAATTTTAGAGACTTTCTCTGTCTCTTTAGAGACAAAGATATGCCTTTCTCTGATATTGTAGTTGAAAAATGTAAGGACTAAAAGAAAAGGATTCAGTGCTAGATTCTTAGAGTACAGAAATTCATAAGCACACATATAAACATATTTCACCAACATGTACTGCTTTATAATATTTCACTTAATTAGCCTCTCCAGAAAAATGACTCAGTCCAATTACTTCTTGGTCTACTCTTGTGGTAGTATTTGTCTTTTTTTTTCCACATTGTTGTTCAAGTACAGTTGTTTCCCGCAAATCTTTGAAATTTGATTAATAGAGAATGATCTTATATTAATAATTTAAATCACTGTCAGAGACTATGAGAAAATTTGATGCTTTGAGTAAGATTGAGCTTCTCCCAGGCAAATAAGCACCAAGGCTTCAGAGTTTTTATGCCTACCAAGTATGGATATTTTTCTATTGATTCAGAACTTAAATAAGATTAAAACCCTTTTATTCCTATTCATTTAAACTTATATATTTAGGAAGAGACGGTTATGTTATAATGACATTGCATTTTAAGAAGCAGGCATGGAAAGTGTTATGTCAGTATTACAGGTAAGGAAACAGAACCCAGAAAGATTGCCATTTCCCCAGTATAGCCTTGCAGTGCAAGACTAAAACGAGAGCTACATTCTTGGTTTTTAACTGTAAGCCCTGCCTCCCACTCCTCCTTGCTCCATCCAGTATTTAGAGTTTGTGGCAGCATGTGTTAAATCATTATATTTATATTTTGACCACACAGTTTGTGCTCATGAGTTGGCAGCACATTTCTTAGGTAATAGAAATCATAGTCAACAGTGTAGTACTCTCAAATACAGTACTATGCTTCATTTAAATGAGCCATATCTTGTCCTGCTGATTTGTATAAATTGGATAAACTCATTAGCCATGTCATTTTAAGAAATAAAACTACCACCCTGGCTGGTGTAGCTCAGTGGATTGAGCATGGGCCTGCGAACCAGACAATAGCGGTTCGATTCCCAGTCAGGGCACATGCCTGGGTTGCAGGCCGGTTCCTTGCAGGCCAGTTCCCAGCAGGGGATGCACAGAAGGCAACCATACATTGATGTTTCTCTCCCTCTCTCCTTCCCTTCCCCTCTAAAGATAAATAAATAAAATCTTTAAAAAAGAAAAAAAGATGGGCTTATTCTAAAAAAAAAAAAGAAATAAATAAAACTACCTTGAGTTGAGACTTCTTGAAATACTGAGATCTTTCGGCCCAAGGCAAATTGACTCTCAGTAAGAGTGAGGTTCTCATTTCTTTAGCAATCTGCAGCATTTGGGATTATAACTGAAGATTAAAGGAAAGTGAACATTCTGTAGTTAGTATATAAATTTAAAAGATCCTGCACATAAAGAAGAACTCACTGAGAAATTTACTATTCAGCCTCTTTTGTTTGTGTACCTATTACTGGTATATGTTAAGATCAAGAAAAAATATGACATTGTTATTCTTGACTCCACAGAAACTTATAAACCAATTGAGGAAACAAAACACACCAGGTAAAGTACTCTTTATATGTTCAGGCAGAGCAATATGGGGTCAGGAAGGTGTTTTAGTTTGAGTTGACTCTGAAACAGATCCCAAGACGACAAGGATTTGAGTCCATGCATTTTTTGGTAGAAGTTTTAAGGGACATGGGAGAAGGGAAAGGATACAGGGAAGGGAAGGCGGCCAATAAAGGGAGCATTATTAGACAGCATCACCATGGGTGACTAGAAAATAATCTATGAGAAAATAGTGGTAAAGGGTATAGAACATACACCTCACAGTTATTTTACTCAGAGGGTCGGGGAGCTAAGCTAGTTACATTCCAGCTCTTATCAGGGCTACAATTGTAGTAATGAGGGCTCTTCCAGAACTGTCCAGCACCTTGCCAGAGCAGTCTTCTACAGCCCCAGAAAATGCCCTCAGGCACAGTGCCCAGAAACTGACAGGTGGAAGTCAGCCTGTGCACATAAAACAGAAGGATCCAAGGATAGTGGACTGACAGAATGTCTGCCATAGTATGAGTCTCTTAAAAAAATTGATTTTAGAGACAGAGGAAGGGAGAAAGAAAGAGAGAGAAACATCTCTTTGTTGTTCCACTGATTTATGCATTCATTGGTTCATTCTTCTATGTGCCCTGACCTGCAGTTGACCCACAACCTTGGCATATTGGGATGACACTCTAACCAACTGAGCTATCTGGCCAGGGCTTGTCATAGTAGGATTCTTGGTGGAGGCGAGACTTGACATTGCTCTTTCTCATCTCTCCCCAGGTGTTTGCATGTTGCTATCCCTGTTGTCCATTGTGTATGGAGCCTTGCGCTGCAACATCCTAGCCATCAAAATCAAGTATGATGAATATGATGTCAAAGTGAAGCCTCTGGCCTATGTCTGCATCTTCCTCTGGAGGAGCTTTGAGATTGCTACTCGAGTCATTGTCCTCGTCCTCTTTACCTCCGTCCTGAAGGCCTGGGTGGTGCTCGTCATATTCATCAACTTCTTCAGCTTCTTCTTGTACCCCTGGATCCTCTTCTGGTGCAGTGGCTCCCCATTTCCTGAGAACATTGAGAAGGCCCTCAGTCGAGTGGGCACCACCATTGTTCTGTGTTTCCTCACCTTCCTTTATGCCGGTATCAACATGTTCTGCTGGTCAGCTGTGCAGCTGAAAATCAACAGCCCCGACCTCATCAGCAAGTCCCAGAACTGGTACCGGCTACTGGTATACTACATGCTGAGATTCATTGAGAATGCCTTCCTCCTCCTTATGTGGTATATATTCAAGACTGACATCTATATGTATGTGTGTGCACCTCTGTTGATTTTGAAGTTGCTCATTGGGTACTGCACAGCTGTTCTATTCATGCTCATATTCTATCAGTTCTTCCATCCCTGCAAAAAGCTCTTTTCCTCCAGTGTTTCTGAAAGTTTTCAGCGGTGGTTAAAGTGTGTTTGCTGTCAGTGCTGGTGGCAGAAATCCTCAACATCTGTAGGAAAGACAGATGTAAGGTCATCTGAAGACAGAGATGAGACACCTTCTAGCAGTAAAATAAGTTCTATGCCCAGCCAGATCTTGAATGCTGATGAGCTCTGCTCTGCTTAATGGAACCCGAGTCTCTTGGAGCAGAAACATTGTTCTCTGAGTTCATTGCTGCTCATGATACAAGTGATGAGTCCTGCACAGGTAACAAAGCAGGAAGTTAGTTTCAACTCCTTGTGAGTTGCTTCCTTTTAGAGAGCTCTTGGGTGTGTGGGAACATGGAAAGAAGCCAGGGAAACATCTGAGTATTAGAAGAGCAGTCTAAGGCACCACCATTCACAGTTGACTGTATTCTCCCAGGCGTTACTGGCCTTTCCACTGACAAAGTACCCATGATATCTGAGTTGAGCTGGTTAGATCTATCAGGTAGAATGAGGACAGTGGCTTTCTTGTTCTCTAGTGTTCTGGATTTCTGATCTGGGTTGACTAATATTATATTGTCCCCAAGCATAGTTTTCACCCAAGAGCTGGGCCTGGTGATCAGAGAAGTTTACTGGGGTTTTGCCATTGGCAACATCGTTATCATCAGAGCTTTCAGAGAAAGCTGTTCAAGTTTGTTTTTTAAATAGAGAGGTGTTCCATTTTCATTTTGTTAGGGCTCTTTTTGTATAATCAACTGTAGGCACCTTGGTTTGCTGTATGCAATAGATTTTAAAGTCTAGATTTGGAAACTTTATACCCAAAGATGGAGGGATGCAAAATTGAATTCTAAATTTGGTTATGGGAGCCCTAGAATTTTAGGAAAGTTTTGTGTTCCTTTAATATGTTGAAGAAGTTCTGGAACAAGAGGATCGTTAAAAAATCAAAATGATGTAGGCTTTTATAAGCAGAATTCTTAAGTTCTTTGGAAGGTTGAAAATGTGAAGCTTAAACCTTTTCAAGGTTCAGTCCTGTCCTGCAATTCTGGGAAATTTCTAGTACAATTTGCTAGGATTTACCTTCTTAATAAAGAAGAAAATAAAACTCATAGTGTTTACTGTGCTTCATCCTTGCCTGTTAGGAGAGTTGCAGACAATAGTTACTTTGGTTAAGTTAAAAAAAAGTTATTTTGGTTAACTTTTTTTTTCTAGAAAACTCCACAGAAATCTTTCACCTAGTGAGGGTATAAAAGACATTTCATTTTTTATTAGTTGAAGGAAAAAGGTTTGTCTTCTCCCACCAAGTGAGATATTGTCCTCAGAAACTTTTAAATTATAGAAAGTGATGAAATGACTAGAAGATATGTCTTTAACTGAATGCATTTTGACCTGTCAGCAACTAGGCTGGACATTGCATGTCGGTCAGGGTTGACAGTCTAAATACTTGGCTGAACTTTCTGGCCCATCCAGTTTCTAACAGCTAGTCTGTGAGGGGACGGGTTAAAAATGCTGAGTTTGAGCAGGAGTAGTAGCCAGAATTAGACAGGGATGGAGAGAGTGGTACTTCCCAGCCTTGGTTTGGAAGCCTGTTTCAAGAACCATTATAAAATCTGAGTCTTCAAATACACTTTAAATTATTTTAATGTAGAAAATAGGTAAGCATTTTGAGTGTTCTCAAATCAGACTAACATCGATCACCCGTCAGATTCCTAAAGCCCAATTGTAAGCCGCTGATATAGGGGCAAAGGTGTTTGGTAACTAAATTAGACATTTTATCATCTTTAACCCTTGATATACAGATACCTTTGCTTTGGGGCCATGTGTGTCCGTTCACTGTAGAAGAGACAAAACACTACTTTTTTTCTGCATGATGAAAATTTAAGTCATGGTGGACTAAGAATTTTTGTTTTAAAATTTTTTAGATTATATCTCTGAAATAGTAAAACTATAGTACAGACTGCAGATCTATGTTGCCCTAAAGACAGACAAACCAGCAAATTCCCCTTACATGTTGAGAGTTAAAATGTGGTTTTCAGTTAGAATTTCAATTTTTTAAACTCTCAGAACTTCGTCCAATTAATTATATGTCATAACTTCTCATGATACCTGCTCTAATTGAATTACTACCATTTGGTGCAATGGAAGTCAAGTATTTTCTTAAAATATATTGAAATAAGATCCTCAGACATGTTTAGACTTTCCCTCTTCATTACTGGTGGCAGTGTAGTATAGAGATTGTCGTCTCCCTGTCAAGCCCTACAAGTTACTTAACAGCTTTATGCTTCAGTTTCCCCACCCACCAAATTTAGATGATATATATGTACTTGCCTACCTCACAAGGTTGTCAGGAAGATCAAATTAAATTATAGTGTGAAAATGCTTTGAAAATATTTTTCAAGTGCCATGTATGTTGAAGGAGTTACTATTATAGTTATTCAAATTGATAAACAGGTTATTATTACTTTTTTACTGTTAGAAAATAAACAAGTAGGATCATCCACATGAGTGTCTTGAGTAAATACATTGGCCTTTGGCCTTATGGGAGGGCAAGTGTAAGTTGTCTTTACTCTTGGAGAAAACTCAGCGTTTGTCTTTATCTTAACGTTACTTGCTTACAAAAATTTGCACTGAAACACAGTTCTTGGAGGGAAAAGACCCACTGTGGTCTCAGAAATTGCTTTTGATGGCAGATGAGTTTATGATTTTTGTATCTGTCATCTTTCATAAAGGACATAGCAGCATGTTTTGGTCATTTACAACTCAAATCAAATGCCTAAGATCCTGCTAGACTTTTACTGAATGTGGGTTTAATCTTTTCAGCCTTGTAAATGAGAAAACAAATTGATTGTCAAGTGAAGCATTTTTTTGGAAACCACCTTGGAAAATTACTGCTATGTTTATGAGTGTATGTGTCAGTACTTCTTAGCCAGTAACTTGTGGATGTGAGTTTTTGTAGGCTGCTGCTCTACAGCCATTGATGCTAGTATTGTTTATGTTTCTTCACATAATAAATTAATTTTTGAAATATTCTTTGCCATTCACTCTTTTTAAAAATATTTATTTATTTATCTTTAGAGGGGAAGGAGAGAGGGAGAGAAACATCAATGTATGGTTGCTTCTCGTGCATCCCCTGCTGGGAACTGCCCTGCAGGGAACTGGCTTGCAACCCAGGCATGTGCCCTGACTGGGAATTGAACCGCGATCCTCTGGTTCGGAGGCCTGCGCTTAATCCACTGAGCTACACCAGCTAGGGTGCCATTCATTCTTTATACAGTCCTTTTATGGCTTTTTGACTTCAGGGATTGTTTTAAAAACAGAAATTTAGAAATGGTTTTTGCTGTGATTAGTTAGTTTTCTAACCACACCTGGAAATTTTTTCTGTACCATGAGAAATTTGAGCATGCTAGGATTCTGCTTTGTGACAATAACAGCCCATGGAATCTCCTCTGATTGTTATTATAAGCATTCACTCTGTTCGTTAAAGATGCATTGCTGGATACTAAGATTCTGCTCAGCTGTTGATTGCTGTGAGCAATACAAAAGAAGAGAGGCAATATAAATCTCTTCTAGACAAATATAAATGGTACACTGATTCAGAAATATAAAATACCAAAGTGGTGACTTGATACTAACATAAACATATAATCAAATGTAAATATGATCCATGGTTAGAAAAAATGTCATTTATCATTAAAGGGGTCTTTTCAGAGCATGAGATAGACATGAATTGTTTAATTAATTTTCTTCTGAAGGTGGCCTTGCAATTTGGAAAGACTTAACTATAGCATAAGTCTTTTTCAAATATGTTTTATTGATTATGCCATGACAGTTGTCCCATTTCCCTCCTTCATTTCCCCCCTTCATTTCCCTCCACCCTGCACACCCAGTCCCCCCACTCCTCTCCTTTAGTTCATGTTCATGTGTCACCTGTTCTTTAGATTCTACATTTCCCATACTATTCTCGTCTTCCCCCCTGTCTATTTTCTTGCTACCATCCATGCTACGTAGTCTCTGTACCTTCTCTCCGCCTCTTCCTCCCACTCCCCTGTGGCTAATCCTCCATGTGATCTTCATTTCTATGGTTCCACTCCTGAGCTAGCTGTCCTCTTAGTTTGCTTTTGCTTTAGGTGTGGTTCTTAATAACTGTGAGTTTGCTGTCCTTTCACTGTTCATATTTTTTATTAGAGAAGTTCCTTTAACATTTCATATAATAAGGGCTTGGTGATGATGAACTCCTTGAACTTGACCTCATCTAAGAAGCACTTTATCTGCCCTTCCATTCTAAGTGAAAGCTTTGCTGGATAGAGTAATCTTGGATGTAGGTCCTTGCCTTTCATGAGATGGAATACTTCTTTCTAGTCCCTTCTTGCCTGTAAGGTCTCTTTTGAGAAATCCACTGACAGTCTAATGGGAGCTCCTTTGTAGGTGACTGTCCCCTTATCTCCTGCTGCTTCTAGAATTCTCTCCTTCATTTTAATCTTGGGTAATGTAATTATGATGTGCCTTGGTGTGTTCCTCCTTGTGTCTAACTTCTTTGGGACTCTTCGAGTTTCCTGCACTTCCTGGAAGTCTATTTCCTTTGCCAGATTGGGGAAGTTCTCCTTTATTATTTGTTCAAATAAGTTTTCCACTTGTTGCTGTTCCTCTTCCCCTTCTGATACCCCTATAATTTGGATGTTGGAGCGTTTAAAGATGTCCTGGAGGTTCCTAAGCCTCTCCTCATTTTTTTGAATTCTTGTTACTTCATTGTTTTCTGTTTGGTTGTTTTTTTCTTCCTTCTGGTCCACTCCCTTGATTTTAGTCCCAGTTTCCTTCCTATCACTGTCGGTACCTTGTGCATTTTGCTTCATTTCACTTAGTGTAGCCTTCATTTTTTTCATCTAACTTGTGACTAAAATCAACCAGTTCTGTGAGCATCCTGATCACCAGTGATTTGAATTGTGCATCTGATAGGTTAGCTATCTCTTTGTCACTTATAAGTATTGGCTCTGGGGCTTTGAGCTGTTCTTCTTGAGCCATAATATTTTGGTCTGTTTGCGACTGTTATGTATGAGGGGCAGAGCCTAGGTGTTCACCAGGGTGGGGCAACCCAGGTTGCTGGGTTGTGATGCTGCATGTGGGGGCGGGGTCAGAGAGAGGCAATGGCATTTTTTTCTGTTCTCTCTCGGATTTCAGTCCCCTCTGCTGCTTCCCACAAGCAAATTGGGCCCTTGTGGTGCTAGTTCCCAGATGTGTGCACTTGTGCACCCTCCAGGACCCTGTGGGTCTCTCTAATGAACTTTCTGTGAGCCTGGGAGCCTCTCCTGGCACCTGGTCACCCAAAAGTTTTTCCGATTTTTGCTTTTAGGCTTTGTTTCCTGGCGCTGGGGCCCTGGGTTGCGTGGTCTGCCTCACTGCTCACTCCTTTGCCTGGTTTATCTGTGCACCAATGTGTGACCTTGGTCAGCCAACTGCCTTGCAAGCCTGGGTCGATCCAGCTGCTTTTTCCTGTGCAACCCAGCTCCATCAGCTGCTGACTCTGCTCCTCTTACTGGTCTGGATGAATGGTTCGTTGTTGTTGGGCTTTGGTACAGTTTAGTTTTCACTCTGTTTTGGTTGCATTCTGGCTTTTAACTATTTGTTGTTCATAAACTTGGTTGTGAGAGGAGGTACAGTGTTTCCATCTACACCTCCATCTTGGCCAGAAGTCCTAGGATTTCTTTTGAAGGAGAACTCTTGCTGTTAAATCAATCCTATAACTAAAATTACTTCATTTGGCAAGTATAAATGTTTTATTTTAAAATAATTTCAAGCTAAGTAATAGAAGATCCTTGAGAATACTGCAAGGGATTCCTTTATATCCTTCACCTAGATTCACCTATTAACATTTTGCTGTTTCCTTTATCTCCCTTGTTTAAGAAAATGAGACCCCTTTTTCCCTAAAATACTTCAGTGTGCATTTCCTAAGAACGAAGTCGGATCTTCCGCCAAGATGGAGGCATAGGTGGATGTACCGTGCCTTCTCACACAACCAAGTTTAGAGACAACTAAATATTAGCAACAGAAAACATAGCCAGAACACGGAAAATTGAACTTTTCGGAAGTCCGTTAACAACAAATTCTTCAGCCTGACCGGTAAGGGGCGAAACCAGCGGCTGGTGAAACGGGGTTGCACAGGAAAACTCGGTCAGGGATGGACTCAAGCTCACGGAATCCATACACGCGGAATCCAGGCGCAGGGTTGGACCTAGTGAGCAACCGAGCGAGCAACCAGGCCAGCGACCGCGGGGGAGACAGCGGGGAACGGTGCTGCGTGTTGACTGTGGTCAAGCATTTGTGCGTGGGCAGACAGGAGAGGGAGTGGGCCGTTGGACCGGGGCCAGGCGGGTCCCCGGGGCAAGCGGCAGGGAGAGCGCCGCCATTTCCCTGCTCTGACCCCACCTCCACATACAACGTCATAACCCAGCGACTCTGAGTGGCCCGGCCCAGGCGAACCACCTAATGCGCTGATCCTCACCCAGCTGTGAGAAACAGCAGAGGGGGGTCATCATTTCCCCGCTCTGACCACGCCCCCACATACAGCCTCACAACCAGCGACCTGGGAGTCCAAGGCACCCCTTCTCACACTTAAAGGGCCAGAACAGACCAAAAATGTCGCAAGAATATCTCAAAGCCCCAGAGCCCATAGATCTAAGCAATGAAGAAATAGCAAAACTCTCAGACGCACAGTTTAAAACACTGGTCATCAGGATCCTCACAGAACTGGTTGATTATACCGATAAATTAGACAAATATATGAAGGCGAAACAAATTGAAATGAATGGAATTGCACAGGACACCAATAGCAATGAAAAGGAAACTGGGACTCAAATCAATGGAGTGGACCAGAAGAAAGCAAATAATGGCCAAACAGAAAAGAGTCAAGAAGCAAGAATTCAAAGAAATGAGGAGAGTCTTAGGAACCTCCAGGACATCTTTAAACGCTCCAACATCCGAATTATAGGGGTACCAGAAGGGGGAAAGGCACAGCCACCAGTGGAAAACTTATTTGAACAAATAATAAAGAAGAATTTCCCCAATCTGGCAAAGGAAATAGACTTCCAGGAAATCCAGGAAGCTCAGAGAATCCCAAAGAAGTGGGACCCAAGAAGGAACACACCAAGGCACATCATAATTACATTAGCCAAAATTAAAATGAAGGAGAGAATCCTAGAAGCAGCAAGAGCTAAGGGGGACAGTCACCTACAAAGGAGTCCCCATCAGACTGTCAGCAGATTTCTCAAAAGAGACCTTACAGGCAAGAAGGGGCTGGAAAGAGGTATTCCAAGTCATGAAATCCAAAGACCTACAACCAAGATTGCTCTATCCAGCAAAACTTTCATTTAGAATGGAAGGACAGATAAGGTGCTTCTCAGATAAGATCAAATTCAAGGAGTTCATCATCACCAAGCCCTTATTATATGAAATGTTAAAGGGACTTATCTAAGAAAAAGAAGTTAAAGAAACATGAACAGTGAAAGGACAACAAACTCACAGTTATTAACAACCACACCTAAAACAAAAGCAAACTAAAAGGACAGCTAGATCAGGAGTGGAAACATAGAAATGAAGATCTCAGGGAGGGTTAGCAACAGGGGAGTGGGAGGAGGAGATGGGGGGAGAAGGTACAGAAAATAAGTAGCATAGACAGTAGATAGAAAATAGACGGGGGGGCAAGAATAGCATGGGAAATATAGAATCTAAAGGACTTGAGACACATGATCATAAACTAAAGGGGGGGGTAATGGTGGGGATGGGGGGGTAGGGTGGAGGGAAATGAAAGGGGGAATAGAACAACTGTAACAGCATAATCAATAAAAAAAATTAAAAAAAAAAAGAACGAAGTCATCCTGTTACATAGCCACAATACAGTGATCAAAGTCAGGAAATTTAACGTGGGTACAATACTAGTATCTAATCTAGAGTAAATATTCTGTTTAACAATTGTGCCTTCATTTGTTTTCACAAAACTTCCTCAACAAAGATAATCTAGTCAGTTCTCTTCTATGAG